TATTGGTGAGATTTTACGGCGACATTAAAGGATGGGTCCCACGCACTGTATTGGACAGCAACACGTCCGATATGAATTGGAATTACACATTGGGACAGACCGTCACGGTGCTGATCGACTCGATCGAGAAGGACGAGGATAAAATGAAACTCAGAATAATCATGGGAGAACAGAAACAACAACAGTCCATTAACATGAAGATCGGGGAACTGATCGAAGGAGTAATAATGGAATCGTCCATGGAAGGAATACATCTGAGAGTACGTAAGACCGACAATGAGGTCACGGTTGGCTTCTTACCGGCCGGTCACATGTCTCCGTGCATAGAAATCGGCGGTCTACTCGCGTCGAAATGCACTCCTGGCGACACTATCTCGGCCTACGTCTTTGCCACACAGCCGAGCGTGATAATGTCACGCACTTATGTGACACAGGAGCAGTACAGAAACTTTCACACGCTGAAGATAGGGGATTGCATTCCGTGCACGATCAGGGACATCTCGCAGGACGGCGTGAGAGTTATCTTGCCCGTCGAGGATTACTCCACATTCGGATTTATCTCATACAAGAATATTAGCGACTTCGAGCTGTTGCGTGTGAATCAGATATTGCTCGTTAAAATTACGGCTATTAACAAACGAGAGAAACAATTGACGCTGACGATGGGGTTGAAAGACGTGTGGGAGAGCTCTGTCGAGCACGGGATGAAGATGCTGTCGGCGGTGGATGTCTTGAGCTTATACCTCAATAAATTGTTGGAGCTGGCGACTAATGCGTTTTACGAGAACAAACCGATTTCGTTGGTGACTTTGGGTCATAAAGTCACAGGCGAGATCGAGAAGATCACCGACCACGGTCTCGTACTTCGACTAGATAATAAACTGACGGGCGTAGTGCGCAAGGATCATTACACCGTCGAGCCTAAAGTCGGAGATAAGGTGTTCGGTACAGTTTTGTGGAAGAACTATGTCCACGACTTCGTGGACGTGTCATTGTTACCAAGGATCGTGAACGGGATCAGCTCCAAGCAAAGAAAACTACCGGAGCTTCCTGACAAGCTTGTGCTGAGAGGAGAGATCCTGATGATCAGCAACTGGTTGCTAATCGTCCTCGTGAAACGTCACGGTTCAGGATATTTAGTGGCTTTGCCGGTCCGTCGACACCTGAACGATCTTTCTCCTGACTTGACGCCTTACACGGTGCACGCTAAGATCCGATTGTACGTGGTAATGGCGAGAAATCAGTGCGGTATCGTTCCGATTGGAATGCTGAAATCTGCGTTCGAAACTCCAAAAAAAGAGACACAGCCGCTGTCTAGCACAAATAAAAAATTGAAGAGAAAAATGTCCGAGCAACAAGATACTGCCTCAACGAGCATGATGCTTAAAAAACCGAAGAGGGAAACAACGACTGATGATGGTGTTGGCAGCGACAGAAAACTCAAAAGTAAAATCGATAAAACAGCCTGTCTAAAGAAAAGTGAGACCAGCGGATTCATCCACTCTTCCGACGAAAGTGATGCAGAAGATAAGTTGCCGACAAAAAGATCACATATTCCAGAATGCGGATTTAATTGGCACAATAAAACAGGTTCAGCTGTAGTAGCTGTCAGCGAGACGTCCAGCGATGATGAAGAGAAGAGCACGGACGAGCTGAAGCGAAAGAAGAAGAAGCTGAGCGCAGCCGAACGTCGGGAAGAGGAACGGCGGAAGGAACGCGAGATTCGCCAGCGGGAAGAGGCTTCAGCGAGCAATCAGGTGCCCAACTCCATCGACCAATTTGACAGATTGGTTCTGTCCAGTCCGGACAGCTCGTTGGTGTGGCTGCAATATATGGCGTACCATTTGCAAGCCACAGAGATCGACAAAGCGAGGTCGGTCGCGAGACGGGGTATCAAGACAATTAACTTCCGTGAAGAAAACGAGCGTCTGAACCTGTGGAGCGCTTGGCTCAATTTGGAGTCCAGATACGGCACGTCTGAGTCCCTGAACGACGTGTTCCAGGAGGCGGTGAAGGCAAACGACGCTTCGAAGGTGTACACGCATATGCTGAACGTGCATGTGGATGCCGGTAGGCAGGCCGAGCTGGAAAAGTTGATCACCATTATGACTGGCAAATTCAAGCAAAACCCTGAGACATGGGTGGACTGCGGTACAGCGTTCCTGAAAATTGGACTGAAAGAGAAGTCCCGGTATACCATGCAAAGAGCATTGCAATCTTTGCCTACGTCTCAGCGTGAGTGCACGTTGCATTACATAAAGTTAATAAGTATCAAGACATAAAGTTGCATTATGATATAATGGCTTTATTTTTCCTCATTACAATAATGTTACAATAACGTAATCATATTTTTGGGTAATGCTTATCTGGTTACTCTCTCATTGTTACTTTGCATGTGTACAAGTATATATACAGAAACTAACGACTTGTTGCTTTTCGAATAATGATAACAATAAGGAGTTTTTTCCGAAATGAGCAACGATAACGAGTTAAACTTGAAAAGTAACTTTTCCAGTTTTGATATAATATAATAAGATATTATTTTTATTAGAATATTGTTTTTTACTCTCGGATCAACAAATTATATTCCCAATATGACATAACTTGAGTCTTTCATGGTTTGCATTTTCTCTGCAGATGTAAACTTGATAGTGAGATTCGCGAATTTAGAGAACAAACTAGGAGACAAGGAGCGATCGCAGACATTATTCGAGCAGATCCTGAGCTCCTATCCTAAGCGCGTCGACGTGTGGTCTTCTTACGTAGATTGCTTGGTAAAAACCGAGGATTTCGACATAGCCAGGTGCGTATCTCGGCGTTATATATTTATTCTGTGTAAATATGTGATCGTTGAATATAATATACTTTTGTACTTGTAGAAAAGTATTGGAACGAGCAGTTGCCCAGACTCTCCCAGTAAGAAAAATGAAAACGCTGTTCAAGAAGTTCATTAGTTTTGAGGAGAAGTACGGTACACCCGAGGCCGTAGCTCACGTACAGCAGATGGTTACCGATTATGTAGAGAAACAATGTAGCAATGAATCGACGTAAAGTTGTATATAAAACAGTTTGTACATTATAAGTTGTATATAAAACAGTTTGTACATTATAAGTTCTATATAAAACAGTTTGTACATTATAATTGGATAAAAGAAAACGAGAATGAAGCTTGATTTATCAGATAAACCTTTATTTATTAAAAAAAAGAGAGGCAAAGATTCGCAAGAATGTAATTTTCTTTTCTTTTACAATCTGAGATACACGTTTTAAAAATAAATTATTTTTATATATCTAAGACGATTCGTGTATCGTTCAGAAAACACGAACAGGGACAAAGATTCGTCAAATATATATTTTTTAGATTTACAATCCGATATACATATATGTTGAAAGTTAATTCTAATATCTTTAAGACTTCGTGTATCGTTCACGAAACAAAGCGAATATTTGTCTTTATTGGTTCAACGATCTGATATACATTCAAAAATAATTTTCAAAAAAAATTTTTCTTACATTTCTAAGTTTGTATATCGCTATTCATATATCATTCGACGAAAAGCGAAGGAAAACAAGAAAGACCATTGGCTGAATTTAGCAGACTCAACAGTTGCACAACAGTTGAACAACTCGTCAATGTAATTGGTTTAGATTTAGGAATTTAACAGTAAGAACCATGGACGTAAGAATACATGGACGGAGCGAAAGGTGTGATTATAGACGAGGGGCTGTGAAACCCAAGAGATAAGAGGATTACATCGTCGCGATCATATTGGTGTCGGAGTTTTGTATCTATTGTCTATGTATAAAAACAGCGACCGTCACCATCATAGTATCTCCATTACAATACATATAATCATTTAAGTTTCGGTTTAACCGCCGGTATGATAAGACGTGTCTGAACGAGTTCAGACCGGTGATTTTTGAAAGTTGCCTTGGAACCTACCAAGGTCTTACTCATTTACCCTACTGAAAAATTTCTATTGAGATCACAATTGAATTCCCAATTGAATTCTCAATTAAATTCTCAATTGAATTCTCAGTTGAGGTTTCCGCAAAATTTCGCATGTAAGATCTCAATTGAGATATTTGTATCTGATGGAAATAATTCATTGAAAATATAATGAACTTTTGCTGAAATATGTTTGAAAAGCATTCACAATTTTGACCCAATTTCATTAAAATTTCATTATAATTTCATTAATATTTCGATAATATTTTATTAAGAGAGTAGAAAAATTCAGTGAAAAATTATTATTAATTAAAATATTTAGAAAAGTAT